ATGCACGCATAGGGAGAACATAGGGAGGCAACAGTGCTTATCACGAGAGGACTGTGCAGCCCGGGAACATGTATGGAAAAGCCTATGACTTTAGTATTAGAGATGAGCACTTCACAGTGTAAAACTGGTTACCATATTGAATTTGATTGTAAAAGAGAAAACACAATTAGTAACCTCTTGTAAAATAAAACGGGAAAAAAACTGTTTAAGATTAAGTTTGAACAAAATAACAAGTGATTGACTAATCCTATTTTTTCTTCAACACAAGAACCAATATTAGCCTGTTGGAAATGCGTTTTTAAATCATAGGTAGACAATTATTAAAGATAAAATAATGCTTTTCAATGAACAGAAAGGGATTTTAGGGCCAACAATTTCCAGGACAGAACAGCTACCAGAGAATAGAGGCCCCTGATTGTTTGTGTTACAGAACCCAGTGAGATCTCCTCTGCTGCTTGACTTGAATGATGCACTCCCCGTCACCTGCCTCCCCTCTTGACTATAAACATACACTCTACCACGCATCAATAACCAAACCTCTTTCCTCCTCCGCTTCTGCTGCTCCTCTTATTAACATTGTCTCCAGGCTGCAACATAATATTGAGGTCTCAATGCTTGCACTCTCTGTCCCTATGTATGTGAGTGGAGCAAATACATTAGTTTCTGACCCCCATAGTGAATGTTAACATTATGCATTTGTCAACTTATGGTATGGTCAACTAAAAATAGCAGTTTTCTCCCATTTGTATCATGTGTGAAAGACCTGCTGTACGGGGTAATGATTTTGGTGCCCTTCGGTTAGGTCACACGTGTCGTTTACTGCCATCTATTCAAATTGAGTCAGCACATCAATGAGCATCATGAGGATCCTATTCATGCATTCCCAGTGGGCTACTGTCTCTTGAGTGCAAATATGTTCCTCTTGCTGTCAATACTTTGCTACAAATAGAATTAAATTAAAGATACGAGTGCTCTACAGAAGGTGCATGGCAAATAGAAGAGAAAGAAATGTGATGTTTGCAGAGATAAGAGAAAGTGAATTGGTGGAAAAAACTGCAGAAAACATCAAAAGAGGATGAACCGAGTTTAATTTTTAGAAGCTTTTGATCTACCTTACTTCCCTTCATACTTTTAAGCTTTAGGCACACTTTCACGTCTCGCTTGGTGTTTGCCTCATCAGTGAAGGATTAAATTAACTTTTTGGAAATGTTGTTTCTTGTCTCGTTGATTATAATTTTTATACCAAATTCATGGGCACTAAAACAGCAGATTTTTCAGTAATCTAGGAGTGCAGTACCAATCCGAGATTACTTACAATATGGATAAGCAAAGAAAGAAGGAAAGCAGTACATACAAAAATAAATAAATAAATGATTCTGGGAATCCATCCAGAGCCTCCAGAGGGGTAAGCAGTGCTTCACTAATACTGTTTGTAGTTGGAATGGGAAGTTGTTGACCTTGAATGAGTCTGGTGTAGGTACTAGTGGATTTCTTCTCAACTTTTTTAGGATGAAATGGTTATGCTAGCTCCTTCCTCCAGAGACCTACAGTATCCATGTGGTGGTTTGCAGCTAGTACGGAGCCACCAGAATGAGAATCAGCACCTCCAAGGCCATGGTTCTCAACTGGAAAACAGTGACTGTCCCCTTCAGGCTGGAGGAGAGTTTCTGCCTCAAGTGGAGGAGTTCAAGTATTTTGGGGTCCTATTCACAAGTGAGGAGACAATGGAGTGGGAGATTGATGGACAGAGTTATGTGGCTGCCGCTATAATGCCAATACTGCAACAGTCCGTCGTGTTCAAGAGAGAGCTGAGCAAAACGGTAGAGCTTTTGATTTCCAATTTGGTCTATGTTTCTACCCTAGACCAGATGATGGTAGCTGCATCATGACTGTAAAAACAAGATCCCGGATACAGGCTGCTTAAATTAGATTTGCTTGCAGGATGGCCAGTCACTCCCTCAGAGATTGAGTGAAGACCTTGGACATCCAAGAGAAGCTCACAGTAGAGTCAATCTCCTTATTGAGAGCAGTCAGCCTACGTGGTTGGACATTTCCCCTGGACGTCTACCTTGGGAAGTGTCCAAGTCACTTCCCTCCAGGAGGAGGCCCAGGGAACAGCCCATGACAAACTGGTGGGAGGGACCATGTCTATTGGATGGCTTGGGAGTCCCTTGGGTCTCCCCCAGCAGAGCTGGAAAAGTTGTATAGGGAGAGGGAGGTTTGGGAGTCTCTGATGAGATTCCTGCCCCGGTGACCCAGTCCTGAATAAAGGACAAGAATTTGCACTATTTTGCATGTTTTTTTTTTACTTTTTTGTTCATACGTGTTCAGTTCTAAATGATTATCCCCCTATGATTTCTGATTTAATTAATATTATTAAGAACAGAGAACAAATGTGTAAATGTACCATTAAAGATCAATCTGAGGCAAAGCCTCCTTTAAAAAAAGTAATTGTCTTTAGAATACAAGAGACAAATATCTTTAGTTGAAAATATCTGCAAGCTTCTGCCATGTTTGGAAAGACTGTAGCTGTTGTTCTCTTGCTGTAGTTTTCTATTAGGTCTGCTTCAATTATATTAGATATGTGATTTAATGCTGTTTTATCTTTAATTCTTCCTCTGCCTCATTTTATCTATTTAACTGTGTAAAAAGATGATAGATGATTCTGAGAATTTTCTAATTCGGGTAAGAAATTAAATTGAGTAAAACTGTTACTTAAATCTTAATTTCTTTTAAGTTAAAATAATTGAAGGTATGCTTTCAAAATGTAAACATGTACAACTAGCTTGATTTAAGGTTTTATATAATTATAATCAACTATAATTAAACATAATTTTTTATTTGTTGTTAGAATTCCCCAAACATTAAACTACACCTTACTGTGGGATTAATACTCACTTTACTGGACTTGAGAAACATTTCATAGGAAGTAAAATGCCAGAGGGAGACATTTGTTTAGTCATTAAGGCCAATCTGTACAAATAAACTAGTAAAACACAGAAATTCTACCTAAAGGAAATTATTATCATTAGGAAATTATATTGACAATTCACTTTCACCCATCCTGAGTGAAAAAAACACATTTTTGACTGGTGTAGCTACTAGTTGTAGCATTTATAGTTTTGAGATATTTCCATTGTATGTTCTTGTGCTATTACTGAACATTTGTCACTGCTTCATAAATCATTTTGACTGGACAATGCCTTGCAGTGGTGGGACATTTGTTTGCATTAGAGAAATTTTGAATGGGTGTCACTCTTTTGTGACTTATCAGTACAGTAACTTCTCAGAGGGAAAAATCGGTCTAACATAATGTTAAAGCTTCTATAAAGACCCAATTTCCTTTAAATCTGTGTTGTTTTGCACTGACTGCAAGACACCTTGTGGATATTTTCAGAGATCAAGTTTATTTTGTTACAAATGAAAAATTACTGTAAAGTAGGAGCCCTATTGCTCTATACTAACATAGTTTGTTTGGTATTTCAAAAAATATGTGGTTGAAGCAATTATAAAAGCATGGACACATGCCTGAGTCTGTTTTCATGAATTGTCACCTATGAAAGTACATTACTATTTAAAAAAAAATAAGTTAAAGGTTTACTGCTTGTTTTCGATGGATTTTCTTGATGCTAAATTCCACAAAATAAAATCTAGCCTTGGAGTATCTGAAATATTTAGAAATTGTGTAGTGGATTTCACTAAATCACAATATAAAAATGCCGTTCTAGCTAGAAACTACTTTCTATGGTGCACTTTTCTAGGGATTGGGGTGTAACAAACAATGATGATGGCTTGTTTTGGTACTGGAATCCTAACTGATAGGTCTGCTTCACTGGTAAATCACAGCTTGATTTCTAAGGAAGCTAATTTCATAGAAGGTTAAGCACAATACAGGATTTACAGCCAAACAAAGACCATAGAACAAGGGCTGCAAAATTTTCCTTTTAAAATAAGAAAATATTGTTAGAGAATAGTGAACACCTAGGGATTTATTCTCCATTAGTTATTATGTTAGAAAAAAATATTTTGCCTTTACAAAATGTTACCAAATGAATAAATATAGTTAGCTTAAACTCTGCAATGACACATTATATTATAACAAGAGATACCTTGTAGATGTCACTAAGTGTAATACTTCCTGTTGTATTTTAAGGATAGGAACGCCTTCCATCATCTCCTGCTATCTCGAGTAAAACTCAAAATAATAAAATGTATGTTACACACACATACCCTAATTTCAGTGTTAAAGAATAAAAAGAAAAAAAAAAGAAAGACTCAGTATGTGACATATAAATCGGCACAATAGCAATCAGTCTTTCCAGAACAAGCTGCTCTTTCTATTGTTACAGCATGCTGATCATAAGCTCCACGGCTTGACTCATTATAAGACGTGAGATCAAGACTTGTGTGGTGATTTATAGGCTGTCTAACCTTTGAATATACATACCTACTGAGATGTAAAAGGAAAAATATTAAGGAACGGCTTGATTTTTTTTTTTCACTTGACTGATTGAAATTGGAAAACACTAGAAAGGGGGGAAACAATCCCAATAACTTAAATTTGTGAATAGGCACAAAAGAGGCTGATATTGTATTAATAACTGTTATATATGCTCTCACAATCTCCTTAAGTCATAAAATGCCTCTTTTTATTTGCTATAAATAAGTAATGAAATGGTAAAACCTCATGATTTCTAGATGATGATTATGATCTTCCTCACATTTATTAATAAATGCATGCAGATTTTTGATTAAATTGCAAAGTAAAGTCTGGTTGAAGTTTTTGTTAAGAGGAAACAGTGGTGTCCTTACATCGCTCTACCACCTCTCTCCCACTCTCTGTTTGTACACCAACTGAATGTGTGTTGGGTGTGTTTCCTGTCACTGCCTGTCTGTGTGTTTTTCTGCCTGGAATATGTGGGCGTGTCGCTATTTGTCTACATATTCCACCTGTGTGTGGTCCTGTGATGCCTTGTTTGTTTCTGTATGTGTGTGTCCAGTGAGGGGAAGATGGTTGTTCTGTCTCTAGCAATCGGGCTGGCTGAACAGGATGACTTTGCCAACCTCCCAGATCTTCAGGAAGCTCCGGCAAGCAAAGAAAATGAAACTACACCAGAGAAAAGGTAATTACGGACTGAGGCACGTGAATGTGTGCGTAATATGTAGGGTAGATGAGATTATCTTTAAAGCTTATGCTGTGTTGAGTCCCTATTAATACACACAAAACAGCTGAGATTTGGTTGAAATGGGAGCTTTGAGTCATTAGTGTTTGAGTTTGGACTTCAGTGGATCCATTAGGATGTTGTGGAGTAAAGAGATCCTCAATAGAGGTGGAATCTTGAACCTTTGGAAACAAATTTTTATGTGGTGTGTATTCTACAGTGGCATGTTGTCTCAGGATTGTCAATGCAGTGCTTAAAGCATCTTACAGTATGTCATCTGTTAAAACCATTAGCTTCTTCTTGGTTTGATTGTTGATTTTTGTATTGTAAAAGGAAGGGCTAAATGTTTGTGTAAAATAAGTTTGTACATGCAATAAGAAGGCATGTTGTGGATGATCTACAAAGATTGCTTGCACAAATGATAAGATGCACAAACCGGATTGGTTCTGTCCTTGAGCAGATTGCGTGTTCTACTTTGAGAGCCGATTTAATAAAGTGAAGTTCTACGCCATGAATTTGAAGGTAATAATGTTAATAATTATCTAAGAATAATAATGATTATAGTAAATATTATTTATTTAGTTCAATTCAGTTTATTTATTTACAACATATGTTATCTCAAGGCCCTTTACAGAGATCATTCAACCAGATCATACAGTCAGATTGGTTTAAAGTTTTCCATCTAAGGAAAGCTAGTCTATTCCATCGACTCATTGATTCAAAAGCATTCCCTCAAACCAAGCATACATGTGGTGACAGTGGAAAGAAAAACTCCCTTTTAACAGAAAGAAGCCTCCAACAGAACCAAGTTCAGTATGAGCGGCCATCTGTTAAGGGACTTTATTTTTCATAACGCTAAAAACTAAATGGAAAAAAAAGAGATGAAAATATGATTTATAATTTAATATAAAAGTTGTACAAAATATTTATTTTAGAATCTTAGCAGACTTTCTTCATTGATCCCATCCTCCAACCCTTCCTGACAGAATCAGAGTGACAGTTAGATGTATATTAGATTAGGTTCTAAATAGCAGGATTAACCTCAACTTCTCACAACAACCTCTTCACACACTATACAGCAAAACAAGGTAGCGCCATTCTAATTTGATTAGATATATCTATGATTTCTGCCAAGCCCATAGAATACACTATATTATAAAATAAAACAATTAGGGTGAAAAAACGTTGGAGACGTCTGTCTCTAACAAAATCTCTCTTCATTTTCTGTGCCAATGCCTCCTTTGTGACCACAATGAAAATAGAACTGTTTGTGTCCCACTTAACACCTGACTTTCAAACATACTTAATTTAGATCCAAAAGTTATCAGGTCTGATATATCATTTTGTTTGTGCTAATTATTCAAATGTGCATATCTACTACCCATAAATGTGCTTGATTTGGTTATTAGAATGGGATCTGGATATTTATTAGAGCACATAGAAAAAAAAGCTTTGCACTGTACAGTATGAGAAGATTGCTCTGCATTTTCAGCAGGTTTGCATTTCTTTTAAAGCTATAGACAAGGATTTTCGGGAATTTTTCAAAAGACCCGCCCTCTTCACTTAAAAAAAAATGCCAACCCTGTACCCGCTTCTGAGAGGGACGCCTATTAAACACATGCGAAGGCATGCACATTTCTCCTTGTGCACGTTCTGTTTAAAAGTTGCTGTTTTACAAACTTATTTTCCAAAAAGCAGATTTACAATTTTTTTCACTACGTCAGACTCACCACCGTTGTTATGACGAGAAATACCTGCCTGCCGAGAAATAACTCCCCCTGCCACCCTCTTAGCACAGAATATATTAATTTAACACTAACTACAAATAAAAATCATATTTATTTGAAATTATCATTGAAAATGATAAATTCATTTAAAATGGGGACAAGCACATTGGACGATTGACAATTAGGAGGACCACTTATTTAGATGATCCACCCTAGAAAACAACTTCCTGCACGATACCTTTAACGTCGGCAAACATTTTAGAGATGAAATCCAATTTATTTAGAGACTGTTTGATTGGTAACCCATCGCTGAATATCAAATTTGCATTTTACAAAAAAAAGAGAGTGATATGACATAAATGCATCTTAGATTTTTTGCTACAGTTTTTGATTCAAGAAGGTCTCTTACTTAATTTGAAATGCATCATTGTTCGTTGATTAGATTATTATACTTGAGTATTTCAGCTGCAATGGATTTCTGCACTATGTTTTTTGACCACTTCTGCCCTTTATGAAATTAAAATATTTATTTTGCTGCTAAGCTGTTTCTCATCCACTGTCTGAAACTGTACAAAATGAAATTTCATTTTATATACACTCTGTTTATGCAGAACGCCAACAAAAGTTATCTAAGCCATATCAGAAAATAATTTTTGACAGTAATTTGGCTGTAAAAAGGGATTAGAGATCCAGAAAAAAATACTACAAGATAGATAAATTTTCTTTTATTATTTTATGTGTGAAATCATCAAAGTAAATTGACCTAAATAAATCTGCGTTTTGTAAACTTGGTTTTACAAACTAGTTGAGCATTAGTGAGGCAACAACTGAGCTAGATGTTAAATTAACTAATTACGTCTGGTGATGTTCACATACTGATACCAAATAGCTGTTGGAGCTATCGGAGTTAAATATGTCATCAACTGCTGTAGATATTAATGTAAAAGAATAAAATATGAATAGGCTGCAGATATTGCACAAATGCTGGAATTTATCATGATCTGATCCATTAATTTATAGTGATTAACATCTAGCTTTCGATTCCCATGCAGCATCCAGAGTATGATCCCATTAACACCAAGCGAAAGCATCATCTGTCACTATGCAAGTTTAGTTAAATGAAGTTAGATCACTATTAGAAGACTTGTGAAAGTCTGATAAATGTAAATATGTTTAGATTTTAAAATCAGTGTTTATCATCAGGAAAACCCTAAGCTTAACCCTAAAAAAAGGATTTAAATTAAAATCATTGCTTTCTCTTTATACTTTCCTAATTCCTAAAAGAGGTGAACAACATGACCTTGGCTTTTACCTGATTTCTCTCCCTAATTAAAGGTAGTTCTTCATTGTTTTGCACTAAAAATGTGGGAGTGGTGGTGTAGTCTTTTAAGCAAAGTGCTTAGACTCTGAGAAGGCTGCAAAAAGCTGGTACAAACCGTGCCATTCTAGGGCACTCAGCAAGATGCTTAAACCCTAGGCGCTCCAAGCTGCTCATTCCTTCCTGGGGAATTGATTAAATAGAGAGATCAAATTTCATTGTAATGTGTATTTACAGTGACCAATAAAGTTGATTATCCTTATTCTCAAAGCTTTTCAGTTTTTCTCTTTCAATGTAAAGCTTTCTCCCATTTTTACATTACATAACAGCACATTATTCTATCTCTTATTTCATGTTTTTCTTTTTGTGGGGGGGCCAGGGAGTGAGGGGTTCTCTCTCATGTCCGCTTTGGTCTCCACCCAGACCTTTGAAAATCTGCTTGACTGCAACTCTTAGCTGCTCCTTTGATGTTTGAGTCGCATACACAGGAGAAGGGCCCCCTCGTTATTTAGAAGTAAGATTCACCACATGAAACATGCGTCTAAAAATATGCTAAGTTCTCTCATCTACCAGTGATCTCACAGCAGCACTCTGAGACTAACACAGTCTCCCAGCTGGTGAACAAAGGACTGAACAGACTTCTCTCTTATCACAGCAATGTTTGAGGGATGAAGTGCTTAGCACACTGCTTGACTATGCTGGGCAAAGGACAGCAGGGCACAGTTCCGGATAAGCATCAACACAATCCTGCATTGGTATTGTGTTTTTCTTTTTGTCTTGATGGGTTTGTTGTATTTTTTTTTTTTTCACTTAGATATCAAAGCCACACAGTGTTTCATCTAAACCTTTCAGCAGAGCATTGAAGCATGCTATTTTAACTGGGTCATCTGTGAATTTGTGGTGGATAAAACAAATGGAAGCTTGACTTTGAAGAAAACAATATGATGGATGTTTTTCCCAGTTATTTTTAATGCAAAATTGACGAGTTTGTTTATGCTTTTAAAACTTGTCTTAAAATATTCAAGTTTTAAAAAGGTAATAAGCTTATCCTTGGTCCAATCACCTAGCCTCCATCTAGAGGCCAGGTGGTCCATTGTTCTAATATCTAATAACAGCTTATCATCATCATCATCATCATCATCATCATCATCATCATCATCAATGTCTGCCCCTCTCCTCCATTTTCCTCTGTAGTCACTTTGCAAGCTGTAGTCTGCTGGTCTTCTCCTGGCTCTTGTAACAAGCGTTTAGCACGGCTGACCAAGATGCAACGGGATAATTCCACCAAGATTATGTTTCTCAAAGCAAGTAGCTGTCAGAAACTTTTATAGAGAGAGAAAATAAAAGGAAATGATTTGCTTCCAGCCATCTGGATAAATATGCTGTAAGACGAAAATAGGCTAAAAACTGGAGGTTTGAGACAAAAATGTTGCCAAATATAGCTTGCAACACAAATAATAAAAAAATACAAAGAAACAGATAGCAAATACAAAAAGTTTAAATGATAAAATAATAAACCTCAGCTAAAATTATTTACTGTAAGCAGCTAACATCTTGTGTCATTATAAGCTGTCATAAAAAAAAACATTTAACTGATATCTCACTATAATAACTGCCACTTGGTTCTTACTCTGCCTGGAAATGATGTTGAAGGAAACTGTGTTGACTGAAACAAAACAGTCAAGGCGTGGGCTGTGCAGTGTTATAAGAGGTTATAATCTCTGTGGAGCTGAGATGAGCCACAGAATCACTAATAAGTTTAGGAAGTTCATTAGTATGAGTGATCCCTCTCACAGCAGGCTGACTCATTTCATCCACTGTTAACATGAACATATTAGTCCAACTTTACTGTTTTCTCAACCATATAGCTGAAAAGCAAATTATTGATATATAATTAATTAGATTTTATATACACA